AATCACACCCTCAAGATGAATGGGTATTTTCGAAATTTATTTTAATTAAAATCAACTTCAAATTTTACTATTCGATTATTTTCTGAATCGACAACATAAAGATTTCTTTGTTGATCAAATGATAAATTCATAGGATAAAATAATTGATTCAATTCTTCTCCACGTCCATTCCCACCAACAACAATACTTCCTTTTGTTGCACCTTCGATCCAACGCATCACTCGATTATTTCCATAGTCTGCCACATAAATTTGATTAAATTCATCAACAATAATTCCTTTAGGACCAGATAATTGTTTAAAGCTACTTCCTTCTCCATTTCCACCAGCAACAATAATTCCTTGTTTTGCATCTTTTAACCATTTTATTATACGATGATTTGCACAATCTGATATATATAATGAACAATCATCATCAACAAACATAAAAGTGGGACAATTGAGTTGATTCAAATTTGTTCCTTTTCCATTTCCGCCTGCAACTATTTTTCCATTTTGATCTCCTATTTTAAATTTTCTAACTTCATGTTTTTCATAATCAGAAACATAAATAAATCCATATTTATCAATTGCTAAACCATAACAATTTATATTAGACATAATTATTTGTCCAGTTTCATTATTTTGACGAGAATATTGCATTATTCGTTTATTTTGAAAATCATCAATAATAAAGCAATCATTTTCTTTATTAATAATCATATTTATTGGATAAATCAATGGATTTATCTCTTTTCCTATTCCATCAGCAACAGTTTCAACATAATTTTCATCTGATTTCCATTTAATAATACGACCATTTTGAGATTCAACAAAATAAATTGTTGTATCATCATCAATAAATATACTTGAAGGACTATGTAGTTGATTTAATTCATTCCCTTCAGTAATATTAATTCCAAATTCTTTCCATTTTGTATCTAAATGAGAATAAAATCTTGTTGAATGAATTTCCTTAATCAAAATATGTTTGTCTATTCTGATTTTAGAAAAAAATTTGAATAAAATCGCAATCTCAAATGCCGCGATGAGCTACGTTAACTTTTTCATTTATTGAAATTTTCTTACTAGATCGATCAATTAGATTAATTTTATTGATAAATAATGTTGAAGTTTCTTCAATGGATATATTTTTTGGTTTATTAAGTTCTTCTGTTAGTTGAGTTAATTTTTGTTTGAGTTGATTCACGTAATTTTCATTGAATGTTTTTTTACTAGGAATTTGTTTTAATTGTTCAGTTAAACGAAGTAATTTATAATCTATTTGTCTAAAAGATTTCTTGATAGATTTAATAA